CAAAAAAAAAAAAAAAAAAGAGAGAGAGAATTGCCTGAGTCCAGGGGTTTGAGACCAGCCTGGGCAACTTGGCAAGACTTCGTCTCTACAATATATCAAAAAATTGGCTGGACATCGTGGTTTGCACTTGCAGTTCCAGCTACTTGGGAGGCTGAGGCGGAAGGATCACCTGAGCCCAGCAGGTTGAGGCTATGGTGGTTGAGGTTGTGGTAGCTGTGAGCATAGCATGCCACTGCACTCTAGCCTAGGCGGCAGAGTGAGATTACAACTCAAAAAAACCCAAAAAACAAAATCCTCATCATTTAAGTCTTTTGGGTACTTCAGTTTACAATGCCTTAAACTTTTTTTTTTTTTTGAGTTGGAGTTTCACTCTGTCGCCCACACTGGAGTGCAGTGGCCGCTCCTGGCCACCACAGTCTCGACCTGCTGGGCTCCGGCGATCCTTCTACCTCAGCCTTCCAAGTAGCTAGAACTACAGGTGCGAGCTACCACGCTCGGCTGATTTTTTATTTATTGTAGAGATGAGGTCTCGCCAAGTTGCCCAGGTGGGTCTCGAACCTGTGGGCTCAGGCAATCCACTCACCTCCGTCTCCCAAGGCGTGGGATTACAGGCTGAGCCACCGAGCCCGGCTATCTATTTTTTATGTTCTGTATTTTTTCTTACTCAAAGCTAGTGTATTTTTAAATTTAATATTTTCTATAAATGCAAAAACCCTAATTTCATCTACCGTATCAGACAAGCTCTACAGGAAGCAAATGACCCACTCAAATTACGTTCATTTAAGGAGGGTTATTTACAAAGGGACTATTTATAAAGCTGTGGGTGAGGCGTAGGGGAATCACAAGGGATAGTGCAGTAACTCAGGCTAGTAACAAGAGAGAAGCTCTCATCACCATAGGCTCCAAAGGAAGCAGCAGGACTTTAATACGAGGGAGGGACACAAACAGCCTAGGTTCCTATGTACAATAAAGTGTGAGAAAGGGAATAAATACCCAGACGTTTAGCTCCCTCTTCCTCCAATTTCCTGCCAGGGATCCTCATTACCAAATCTATACAGAAACCAGAGGATACAGGGGCCCATTTGTGTTGCCCTGAAAGTTTCCCTATGATAGAGAACCTGAATGTTAAATAGATCCGTAGGGTTAAATTGAAGATTATGTGATACACATCTGCAAAACTGAACTCTCCAGTACTGCTAGGTTTGGGTAATGAGAGGTTTACCTTTCTCATTAAATAAAATGGGATGCTTGCCATAGATTTGTTTCTGTACTGTGAAATAATGTAAATAAGATAAACATTTACTCTATATGTTTGAAAAAAACCCATTCATAAAAAAATTAAATCCTCTTTGATTTTCAAATGTATGGGCATGACTATTCATAATATTCTTAAAATTTAATTTTTCTTATTCCTAGTATTTTGTCTGAGACTTATCAAATGACTAATTAATTTTCTTAATTTTACTTTGTAATTTTAAAAATATTGTTAACTTCTTCTTTCCTCGTTTTTTTTCCTGGTGAAAGGAGGGTTTATCTTTTTTCTTTATAAAGACTCCTTGGCCGGGCGCGGTGGCTCAAGCCTGTAATCCTAGCACTTTGGAAGGCAGAGTCAAGAGGACTACCTGAGCTCAGGGGTTCAAGACCAGCCTGAGCAACACAAGGAACCCTCATCTCTACAATAAATAAATAAATTAGCCGGGCATGGTAGCGCACGCCTGTAGTTCCAGCTACTTGAAAGGCTGAGGCGGAAGGCTCACCCAAGCCCAGCAGGTCAAGGCTGTGTTGGCCATGAGCATGCCACTGCACTCCAGCCTGGGCAACAGAGTGAGACTCCAAACTCAAAAAAAATCAATAAATAAAATAAAATAAATAAAACTCCTTGAGTTGAAATGTTTAGCGCTTTTTTTTTATTTTTCGAGTTGGAGTCTCACTCTGTCGCCCAGACTGGAGTGGAGTAGCCGCTCCCAGCCACCGCAGCCTCGACCTGCTGGGCTCCGGCGATCCTTCTGCCTCAGCCTTCCAAGTAGCTGGAACTACAGGCATGCACTACCATGCCCGGCTGATTTTTGATTTATGTAGAGACGAGGTCTCGCCAAGTTGCCCAGGCGGGTCTCAAACCCACGGGCTCAGGCAATCCACTCACCTCGGCCTCCCAAAGCGCAGGATTACAGGCTGAGCCACAGAGCCCGGCTTAGCTTTTTTCCTCTATCTCCGCTACCAACACTTGCGCCCATACCTGCCCCGTACACAAACACACATCCCCCAATCGGTCATCTCTATCTTCTTTCCTCCGTACCAAGAAACGTGGTTCTGAGTGACACAGTTTGTGACAGAATTAAAATCATACAATTATTTGTTTGCTTTTTATTTCACATTACACAGTCTCGAAATAATACTGGTACTACCACCACCAACATAATTACTGAAAATTTTTTATAAAATGTTTGCAAGGCCAGGAGCAGTGGCTCACACCCATAATCCCAGCACTTTGGGAGGCCGAGGTGAGGATTGCCTGAGCCCACGGGTTCAAGACCAGCCTGGGCAACTTTGTGAGACCTTGTCTCTACAATAAATCAAAAAATTAGCTGGATCTGGTAGCACGTGCTTGTAGTTCCAGCTACTTGGAAGGCTGAGGTGGAAGGAGCAACTGAGCCCAGCAGGTCGAGGCTACGGTGGCCGTGAGCATGCCACTGCACTCCAGCCTGGATGGCAGTGATGAGATTCCAACTCATAAAAAACATTATTTGCATATGATCCCTCCATTCTCCTTCCTATTCCTTTACAGGCCATATTTCCTCCTTTTAAACTCTCTCTTGGTCTTAGCTTATGTGGAACACAAACCACCAGTCTTTAAATT